AAAGTAGAGACACTACATACTGATATACACCTGAACATCAGCAGGAGAGGACTCTTTAAAGTAGAGACACTACATACTGATATACACTAACATACACGTCTTATATACTAATAAAGGACTGGCTTATCTAAAGCCAGTTGAGTACAGTAGCACTTGAAATGTTTGGCTCTATGAAACCTGATGTACTTATATGATTCTGTTTTCTTCTAGTTTGTATCTTCGTGGTCGAATGTGAAAGTGCTTTGATCCACATATCATGGAACTGAAAATCAGGAGGTTTTGCCTAAGCTCCATACTTCCCAGCACCCCCCTCTCTGCTGTCACATGCGCTCATTCTCCAGGCTCGCTAATCACACTGAGATTCCTCCAACCTTTGGAGTTAAGGTTATTGCACTTTAAGCAATATTTATTTACAAGTCAAAGTTGCTGGTGGGAGGGTGTGTGTGTTGCGGGGGGAGGTTCGGGGGTCATGATAAATGGTATGGCTGAAATCAAACTCTGCATTGAGCGGATCGATAGAAATGACACATGCATAATGTACGCTCACTGTATCTTCCACAACTCTGATTCATCTCCAGCACGACAGTAATGCAACACTGTGACTCACGCCTTGTGTGACGATGTGCAGAAGGGGCAATAATGTCCAGTGTCCATTCATTATTATTATATAATTACTCTTAATTAATGAAATAATCTTCGGATCGCCTGGAGAGAAAGCTCATGGTAGAAAGCAGATGGTAGTAAATGGAGCACAGTTGGTACGAGCAAGCTTGTGTCGCCTTAGCGTTGTCATGCAAAAACAAATCGACAGGGTTTACGTGGCCCTTTGGAGCCGTGGCACTCGGCGTCTCTTGTGCAACACTAACCTCTCAGGTTACAGCTGAAATCAATAAGGGAGAAGTGATGAACTCAGCTATGAGAAACACAAACCCTGCATTATCAGATCTTCTTATTGAGCCAAAAGCAGAGGGTCCAGCTCTGGAGTCAATATTTGAATATGGTACTGTGTAGGCCAAATTAAGGTACAGGGAGTCATTTCATTGGGGACACTGGGGTAATAATGATATCATTATAATTGCTGCAATCACATGATTATATAGTGTAGGGTTGAAGTTAATCCTGTTGAGATCTGTTTATGTACTTGGAGGACCTTTCTTTCTCTTTTTTCTTCAATTTTTTAAATTAAAGTATTATATCAGCCCCTTTCAGCCCCTATTCATGACTTCAATCAAGCTTATTATTACCTTAGAGTTGAAATACATATACAGCTCTTGAAAAAAGTAAGAGACCACTGCAGCATTATCAGTTGCTCTGGTTTGAGACACTGGAATGGAAGGGCTGCCATACATGTAGAGATTGAGATTCAAGAAACATTTGGAGTGGTCTCTTAATTTTTTAAGGACCTGTAATATATTTATTTATTTAAATCTTTAATTAACCAGGAGAAATCTCATTGAAATTCTCTTTTACAAGACAGTCCTGGCTAAGCTTGTTTAGAAACGTATCATAAAGTTTGTAGTTTTTTGTATTTTGCAATAAGATATGAGGTCCTTGACCGAAAAGGATGTACATTAGTTGGATAGGACTACTCTTTTTTTTTAATAAGCTATGCTTTCTGCCTTCCTGCTTCAACTAACTTTGTTTTTTTGTGTTCCCTGTGTGTATATACTGCTATTGCATTAGCTGAAAATAAAAGGGTAATTTTTGCACTATGAGAACATATGTTTTTGATATACGAGGTTGTCTGATAATACATTAGATACAATTGGAAGGCTGTACTTTCCAGTTTTATTGAGTTCTTTTATATTGCAGTATTTCTACTTATACTAATGTAATAGATGGGAAATGATCACCCACTGCTGCATAACATGGAGGCAATAAGCAGCATGAGTAATGTGAAATGCTCCTCGAAGAGCCCCTCCTGTCTGACCACCGTCTGCAGCCAGAAACAGAGGCTGCTCCACAGACAGCTTGTTTCCATGCACCCACACCTCTGCTGAAATCAAGAGGAAAAACAGAAGACAGCGTCGTCTCAAATCCGTCTGCATGACTAACCATCACACACAGGGACACTTGACAACTTGATGAACGGTCTCTCACGTTAGCAATAAAAACATGGTGCATCCGCTGCAAAACAGCAAGTTTAGACAAAGAGGATGTAAAAAAGGAAAAGAAGAGGAACTTCCTCTACAAGTTCCCATATCCTTACACCCTCGATAGTAAAGCAGAACAAACCACATGTTCAAAACTCAGGTAAAAAAAGAAACGTAGGAACGCTTCCTTAAACATCCTCAGCTCTCTTAATTTCGTCTGATTCTTTGCAGACACTTCCATTATTATATTTGGCTATATAAATAAAACATTTTTACTCAAGTTACCACAACTGCACTATGTGGTCAGAGCTTAGTTCAATGGGAAGTCATAGTATTTTTGAAACTGAAAAAATATATTTGTTGCTTCAAAATTAAACAGCTAAAATCAACAATATAAATTAGATAGGGAGGGAAACCTTATCATCACCAGTGATCACACAAAACAGTAAATCACCATATCAGGCTGAAATAAACTAATGTATTTAGCACTCATTTAACTAGAGTTTACAAAATATGTATGGTATAAAACCCCATATATTTAAATGCAATCCTTGCGATTACATTTTGAGCCTCCTTAAGTCATGAGCAAAAAAAAACTTAAATTTAAAATGACCAAAGCTGCCATTTCTGCAAACCAGACCTAATAAAGGTTAAACAATAGCATGGAATAAAACCACAAAAAAGGTTTTTTTAAAAGTTCACTAACCCTCCCGTTGTCTTCGGGTCAAATCTGACCGATTTACTACTTTCATCAATCATAACTTTTTTGTTTTACATTCGATTGCATTAAAGAGCAAATTGCAGGTTTTTTTTTACTACATTTATGCTTAACCTTGCCTGAAAATTACAATTAAAAAAGTGAATGCAGGATTTGATATGTTTTACAAGACATAAGGGCAGGAATTCAGAGGGAAAGGAGCAATTTTGAGCTCTGCTACTAAAAACTGCTTTTTTTTTAACGTCATACGTCAAACGCGTCATATCACATGGGGGAGCAACTCTCTCTGACTCCTTCTCTGCCCAATCCGCGGTAGTAGTTTGTAGTTGGTTTGAGCGGTTGTGATTTAGTGAGCTGGTATTTTTTCGGTCATTTTACATTGCATTTCACAATTTGTAATCCTGGTGAGCTGGAGTTTGTGCAGGTTGCACAAACTCGAGCCTGTCAGCGTCAGGACATCGAGTCCACAGTTTCCCTAACAGGAAAAGGACCGGAGCTAGCGTTCGTTCCTGGGTGCGTTGTGCGAGGTGCATCCACCTCCCTGCAGCACATACTCTCCACAGCCGAAGCCTATCAAACAAAACGTTTATCAGGAAACCGTATTACCTCTCTCTCCCCCCCTTCGCTCCTCTCTCTCTCTCCCCTCCGGTACACGGCACTGTAAGACGTAGTGTGGTCTCCTCCGGCTACCAGCCGCCCCAGCACCCGTAAAGAACTCACCTAAGTGTGGAGCCTGCATTAGGGAACGCGAAGAGCTGCGAGCTTGATACTGCGCATTACGTTTCCTGTTATGGATCAGTATCAATATATAACGATATGATTAGCTTAACTTTACAAAATGTCTGGTAGATGTGACGCTTACTAACCTTACTGTAGCTAAGAAC